TATATGTGTATTTTGTACAGCTTTTTTATTTTCTTAATTATTTAATTATTTATTTATTTTTAAAATTTTGTTTTCAATTTTATTTTAAATTTTTTAAATTGTTCTTTTTTCTGTTTTTTATTATTATTATTTATTTATTATTATTATTATTGTTGTTGTTATTATTTTTTCGTTTTTCTCTTAGATGAATGTAATTTCATCTTGTTTAGAGGGCAGGGGTGGGAATAATATTTGCTTGAATTTCTCTGTAAAACCGCTTTTTTATATCTGTAAAAGTTTAATAGGGTGAGCCAACAATACAACAGAAAGACAGATCTAGATAAAATAGCCTAAGCTATATTGAAATCATTTAAAGAATAACAAATATCGGATATAATAAAAATCACATTAACAAACAAAAGCTAAAACAATTTAGGAGGATACAATACAAATAAATTAAACCGTTTCAAATCAAATCATGCAAACAGAGTATTTTTTTGGGTGAGGGAAACCATCAGAAACGACCTTCTTTTCTGTCATCCAGTTCTGCGCAGCACTGCTTTACAAATGGATTTGGAAAAACTGCACGTAAATATTCATCAAAGGCGGCAACACCAAAGCTCCAAAAATAAACATTTATTAAATTCGCACCTTTTGCGTTTTTTGGCTGAGCACCCAGTTAAGAGGGATGTGCGTGCTTTTGTACAGTTTTTCGAAAACTGCACATAAGAAATCTATATCTCCATTAGTGGCAAGACCACTAGATTCACAATGCCAACATTTGGTCACAGAGTAAATAAATATAATGAATGAAATACAAAGGCCTGTGTGTATAGACATATAATGTAATGCTGTACAGTAATGTGTCATTTGTTTGTTTCTGTTGTCTTCATTTTTTATTGTTTCCTAATGATGCGATGGTGTGCTTTATCTGCCTGCCTGATTCCAGCTAAACTGGGCGGGTTGTGTGACGTTTAACTCAGGGAATGTTCTGGGGGTGGGGTTTGCATGCCGCCTTGCGAGCTACTAGCCCGACAGTAAAAACGCAACATGAATTTGGCCTTCCTACACACAGTGGCCCAACTTTGGAAATGTGGCTAATGGGTGCCAGCAACCAACATTATTCAAAATATCTTATTTTGTGTTTTAATAGCAGAAAGAAAATCAAACAGGTTTAGAACAAGTGAAGGGCGAGTTAATAATGAACGAAGGTTAATTTTTGGGTGAATTAACCCTTTAATTATTTTTTATTAAAAATAAAGTGCAGAATATTTTTTTTAAATTTCTAAAAAAATCCCAAATATAGATAGTCTTGCCCCCATTCCTATCCAGTTTCTTGAGCCAGTAGATAAAAAATTATGTTTTTAAAATTGAATTCATAATATCATTTTAAATTTAAATTCAGTGTCTTATTTTGAATGGTCTTTAGATTGTAATGGCTAACAGTATTGTGAGGAGGCAGAATTAAATTAAACCTTCAAATAATATATTGATTTTAATTATATAATATCCAAAAACATTACACTTCACCTTTAAGAAACAAGGAGCCTTGGTTAGATGTACTATTTGTGTTGGTCTAAGGAAGGATATTGGTGTGCTAGTGAAAGCAATAAGCTGAGCTGTTCTTACTGAAAGCCAATTACACAGGATAGGAGGACTACAGAGGTCGATCCAAGTTTGTGCTTGGAAACTGGTGTGCCAACTATGCCAGAGTACAATTTATTGTCTAATGTTGTCTATGATCAATGTGTTTTAGACTCGAGCCTTAGTGTATTTGTTCACACAAGTCTATATTTGCAAACAGGTGTGACTCTTGAATCATCGGTTTAATGAAGCAGTTTGTTTACTGCTGTTATCAGGGATTATCAAGGTTTCAATTCAAAATTTCAAATTTGAATTAGCATCAATGTCAAAGCACAGTAATAATTGGTTATTACAAAACTTGAATTTAATAAACATGCACATACAAAAATCAACCATTAAAAAAGTTTAACACATTTTCCATTGAATAAACATCAGGGCTCGAAATTGCGACCAGTTTGGTCGCATATGCGCCCGAAAATTAATCTATGCGACCTCATAATATATTTGGGCGCATTAGTGCGACTGCAGATAATGGTTGTAGTGCGACCTGTTTTGATTTTTTGTAAAAACGTGCTGAATCGCTCTTCCCTGCCGCTATATTGGTTCACATTAGCTGTCAATCACTCAAGGTATTTCGCTGTCAGATGACAGGGAAGGAGCTTTTATGACCACGGGGAAATGCAAACGGCAGAAGAGTAAAAACTTAAAGCACACAGGTTTGCAAACCCCACCTAAAATTGAGGTGCAGATGAGAGCGATCATGACACGTCACGTGGTGAATAATGATCCGCCAGCTGAGATCAATCGAGTACGCGCTTCTTGGAGAAGGCGCCCGAATCTCCATGCGTTGCATTCACTGCGTGTTCAGCGCAAATGTCCGCTAAAAGTCTAATCTAATACCATCGCCAAAGAACCCCGCCTTTTCTAAGTTTACACTGAAACTGCGTCTCATAACAAACAGCGGTATTCCGCCGGTGGTCATCGCAAGAATCTTGCGCTGCCTGCTCATAAATTGGGTCGACTGACTCGCCTGCTTTTCCACTAACACAGAAAAATGAAGATCATCTCAGACTGAACCTTTAAATTGACACAAACTGAAACCAAAACTTTTAAAGAGTGATAGAAGTGAGACTTTACTTTCTTTCTTTTGTCTATTCTTTTTTGAGGTGTATATTAATTTTATTTTTTATTTATTTACTGATGACTGCTTTGCAGCTTTCATCATTGAATTGAATGATTTATTATAATCTTTTGTTTGTTTTGTAGCAGAAATATTATTTATTAAATTGACATGCATATAAATACAGCAGTACAAAATACATATTTCTTAAGGCAATGCTTCATTTTTGTTTGATGCAAACTATACAATTATTTTTCATAAAGTAACAGACTTTTTATGGCAGATAACCTACATTCATGCACATTCAAGGCAGTATCATAATGAGAAATGTAATTCATTTTTACTATTATTGTCATTTTCATCATCATTAATATTCTATAATTATTAGACATTCATTTTGGAATTATTGCACACAAATATCAATGTCTTCGCAGCATTAGTTAGATAGTTGTTTCTGGTTTTTGTCAGTCCTATTGATGTTGTTTTAAAATACAATAAATCCCTTAAAAAGCAATTTGCAGCGGTGCTCAATCATTTTTGGTGGGTGCTCCTAATTTTTTTCTGGTGCTCCTAAATTTATTTTGGTGCTCCTAAATATTTGAAGTTGGGAGCACCGGTGCTACCAAGTAAAAAAGTTAAATTCGAGCCCTGAACATACATTAATAATAGTGGCTAAATGACAAGTGTCAATGTATAATTTTTTTATTTTCTTAAAAGTAACATGGTGCCAATATATAGAGCAGTCTAAAGTCTTCTTAACGCGGCTGATTTAAGGCAGCCCTAAAGCGGGTCTGTGTCTGCTCAAAATTCAGTGTAAAGATGCTTTTAACGGTTAGTGTACAGTAAATATAAATTTTTTGCAAATTTAAGCCGCTTTAACTTTGATTTATGTTCCACTTTGGCGTGTAAAGATGCTATACATCTCATATAAAGAAATAGAAATAAAACAGAGCAGTTTTGTGCTAGATTAGAGCGAAATGAACTCATACGTCTCTGTCTAATCATCTTTGAAAACTCTTAATTTCCTGCCTACTTTTCTTTTCTGGAAACTGACATCCTCGCCCATACAAACGCTCACTGCGATGAAGAGTGCCGCCTGATTATACCAACCGTCATACACTAACTGGATAAAATATTGCATTGGGGTGAAGACGGTTTTATATTGACACATTCAGACTTTCTTCTTAGTAATATAATTTTAGAAAACAGTTTCTTTGCAGGGAAATTATATTAGCCGCCAATGACTATCAAAGTAAAACAATAATTCAGACTTCGACAGTAATTAGTCTACCGAAATGTGTATATTCCATACAAAGCATGAAACTGATCGGACAGTTCTTGTGAAGTGACTCAGGGTTTCAACTGATGTGCCTGGAAAATGAGAGCATGCGCAATATGCTCTCCCAATATGTATATGTATGCAAACCGCGCCTCCATTGGAAATAAGCTTGTGCACAATAATGACGTGATACTTGAACGACTCCATAAGCAACTATGCTTCTCTTCACATTCAAAAGGTATCTTCATTCACAATCCTGCGCAAAAATCCAATTTAGCCTGTTTAGGCTGAGTCGAGCCGCTGTGTTTTTGGGTGCTGTGTCCTCCTTGGTTACAATGCTTTCTGTTCAAGTGCTCGAACAAGTTGCTAGTCGAGTTAAAAGCAGTGGAAAGTTCTTGAGAGACTGGACAAGACTGCCTTTCACAGCAATATTTTTGTTTTTACGCTTATTGAAATCAAAGTTATGTCTGTATTTCCACTTGAAGAAGCAACCACTCTGACCAGCAACTATTTTAGCTTGCGATCCTTAGCAATTTAAAAGCACTTGCTCACTAACTACAGCGAAAAACATTATCTAAAAGAAGCATTTTTTCTTCTAAAAACTCTATTTTTAACATAACGCAATTACATTGACTTTAGTAACTGAAATCAAATTACACAAATTTACAATGTAATTCGGTACATTACTGCATTCCCCAAAAATGTAATTAGAATACAGAAACGCATTACTGTGGAACGCATTACACCCAACTATTTAATTTAAGGCACTTCCCTGTGATATGGTATTGCATATACTGTTATTGCGATTGTTTATTAATATATTGTGCAGTCCTATAGCCAATAAGCTCCTCTTTTTTAATGTAGTTTTTTGTCCAAAGTGTGTGAATGTGTATGAACAGACAGATCTCTGAGTTGTGCAACAGGTCATCAGTGTCTAACAGCATGACTGCAAACTGACTAATGAAGCCTCCCAGCAGTGCTGTAGTGCTGACTGGAGCGTAAAGCCATTAAGCGTTATCCCGGTGTCCTGTAGAGACTGACCGTGTTGCCTGGCTGCCGTGAACGCAGAAGCGTGAACTTGCTGTGGTTCTTTTTGCTCCTGCTTTTGGCCTTACGTAGCTCCTCAGACTTCTCGTAGTCTGTGAGATCCACCACCTCCTGAATTTTCTTCTCATCTTTTACCTGCGGGAGAAAGTACATAGATGATTTCAGTACTTTTTGGTACATTTCAGTGTTTACGATATGATATGATGTGATACATTAAGCTTTACTGTCAGACTTTTTCATATCAGCATGTTACATACTTTTTACAAACAAACAAGACACGTTTATTCACTTTTTCTTAATCAGACACACTGTGAAAATGTTCTTACTCTGTTAAACATCATTTGGTAAATATTTAAAAAAGATAAAAAAAAATTCAAAGGGGACTAATAATTCTGACTTTAACTGTATGCATGCATGTATGTATGTATGTATGTATGTATGTATGTATGTATGTATGTATGTATGTATGTATGTATGTATGTATATATATTAGAGCTGCACAATAAATCGTAAAAGGGTCGCGATCTCGATTCGACCCCCTAGACGATCTTAATCCAGCATTTCTGTCAATTGTATTTTCAAGTTCAGGAGAGAAGCAAAAGTGGCCGCACAAGTCTTCACATTGTTTTACATATGTTGATCAGCAACTTGGACACCTCCAAATGGTGTTAAAAGAGTCACATACTGTATTTATAAGATACAATTTACCCCAAAAATGTCATTTCTGTCTTCATGTAATGTACTTGCGACCACAAAATCACACGCAAGCTGACCGTCAGCTGTTATCACAGAGAGGGCGTGCGCGCGCTGAATGAAGTCTACTTTAGTGAACAGAACCTGCATAGACTGTAAATAAAAGGTGAAATGAAACCGAAAGCGCACACAGTGTTGCCAGATGTAGCTGACCGATTCCAGCCCAAAAAGTATCCAAAACCTGCCAAAATGCAAAAATACCCTTGTCCAGTCCTCTGTATTCACGAAAATCACGTCAGTGACAAATTTTAAGCAAAAAATTACAGATTGACACAATAACACAAAAATTCAACAACAAAATTATCATCAGCATTAGTGACCAGGACAAATCTAAAGTCTGTTCAAGTTAAAATGTTTTAACCAACAGTACAACTACACAAAGCTTATTGCTGTTTTACCACATGTTTAAGAACAACAACAATAATAATAGCCCACTCATATTAACCTTTATTTTACATCTACAGAATCGTGAGAAAATCGTGATCTTTATTTTAGGCAAAAAAAAAAAAAAAAAACGTAATTCTCATTTTATCCAGAATCGTGCAGCTCTAACATACACACATGCATACCATACAATACACAAAAAAATTCGTAAACGCAATAGTTTATTTTGTAAACGACTTTCCATTAGTCGTTTAACAGCACTAAATTAAAACAGACAATTTAATTCCATAGAATACGCTTTTTTTGGCCCAGCGTATCCCGATTTACTGATTACACTGTGTGTCCTTACAGTATTTACCACTTGTGTTACCGCATTTTTAGGATAAACAGCGTTTCAGCTCTGTGTTTGGTTTCGACCAGTTGTGTCAGTAACATCAGTAAATGACATCCAGATGAGCAACGGTGCTGACTTTTAACTGGGACAGACGTCAAAACATGGCTAGTAAACATCACTGAGCAAAACATGAAAGTAGAGAGCCTTTTAACCCAGATTCACAGTGAACATCAGGGTCTGATTTGGTATCACCTGCCAAAAGTTCTCATTAAGTCATAATCAATTTCCATTAGCGCTAAACTGAGGCCTAAAAAAAACGCTATCTATCAACACAAGGCCACATCTGGACCTGTGCTGTAGCCCAGAGCCGCTAAACAGTGCAGTGCTGGCATCACACCCATTGCACCATGGGGTGTCACCACAGGGAAAGCCTGTACAAATAGTACATCTACTGTTCCAGCAGTACAAAGACGGCAATTAACTAGCAATCTGATCCAGTCCTCTTTTTGCAAGAGAGGACCGTCGGAGCACAGTACATTTGCACTCAAAACCCGGACATTAGAACGATTCAATGCTATTAGATTCAAGATTATACTCAAGTTTGCTGCTGTGACTTTTAATGCACGAAATAGTGAATCAAAAGGAGGCTTAAAACGATCCATCTGAAGTAAAAATGGGGCGTGATACCACATTAAAGCTTTATTTGAGGATCTTTATTTCAAACGCATTAGCTGTAAAATGAGCCTGATGGATCTGGGGACAAATCTGCCACTGTAAAAGTCTGTAATCCGAGACCATGCTGAGAAAAAAAATCATTGAATGAATGTGAACTTAAGTACTACTTTTGCTCTTTGCTGTTTTAAACTGAGTAGGCGCAGCTTTGAGTCTAAATGAGTGATTATATATTAATTTAACAGCATGTTTTTATGCTTTATTTAGACTTGACTATTCAAACTGCCTGAGCTGGCAAATGTTCGAGCAACAAGGCAATTTTCGCCTCGGTGACCTTTTTAACTGCAAATAAAGTGTCATCTATATTTAATACTATGTACATTAAGTTTTAAACAAGCGCTTCATTTTGCGGAGGACACACACAGCGTCACACACAAATAGCATCCTAAACAACCAAAAGACAGTCGGAGAAAAAGGTTTGACAAACCTTCCCCTTTCCAAACAGCAGGAGCGAAAGGAAACAAGTACTACTGTGAGAATAATTTCACAGTCTTGCCATGCTGTCTGATATGCACTCTGTAATCATGCTTCTTTCTGTTATGTAACTAAAGCTGTCTGGAGCCGTAAACAATATTTTTATCATGTGTGATGTTAGAAAAATGTTCCGGGTTCAGAAAAAAAAACGAGCTCTACAAACAGCATCTGTGGCGTGCTGTCGAATGCCAGAGAAAATCAGTTTGACACAAATTTGTGTTAACAGTAATACCATTATAAAGGGAGTTAAAAGGGAAATTCTAAAGTACAGTTAGTCATACTGAATTGCTGTTTACAATGGTTTTAACACAACTTTACAGTTCAAATAACAGAATTTAAATACTTAAAGGGCCATGACACCCCCCACTTTTGGTTAAAGTCTACTTCAGAATTTTTTCAAAAGATGCATGATTAGACTCAACTATTTAGTCTCCACTTCACTTCCTAATCTGCAATTGCCTCTTTGAATATCACACTAACTGTACAAAAAAAAAAAAACTAATACTACTAATACTTCCCTTCTTAGACTTTACAGACCTGAAACTTGCCTTTAGTACTTATTCATTGTTGCTCTTAGTTGTGTAAATTGCTTCCTTGTCCTCATTTGTAAGTCGCTTTGGATAAAAGCGTCTGCTAAATGACTAAATGTAATGTAAATGTAAATGTAATGGGCGTGGAGCTCCGCGAGCATCGGGCAGGAGTGGGCGTGACCAGCAGGGGAGAACGTGAGCGAATGAAGCTAGCTCACAAAATGAGACAAACCGTGAGGAGACGCATGAGTTTATAGTTTTCAAAGTTAAAATGCAAAGAAATAAACAGTAATTTAATGCCCTGCTACATTTGTTATTCGTAATTTCATATACACATAACCACAATTTATATCATTATAAAGATAATCGTGTTCATGTACACACTATAAATGAGGACTTCTCCCTCAATCCCTGGGTCTGAATCATAGATCTAAATGCAGACTCAGTGGAGCAGGTCTCCTGACCTATCTATTTTAACCATTAGTCCTGCTGGTAATCTGGAGGATTTAGGCAAACACAGCAGCACGGCGATGTGTCTGAATGTGAATGAACACCTGATACAAGACAACATCCGCCATTCTCCAATTCTCGTGCTGCTCTCCCGACAAAAATGCTTGCATCACACACACAGCTTTGCTGTATGATCGGCCCTGACAGGATCCCGGGGAAAAACATGCAACAAACCCCATGGATCATGGGAACAAACACATACGAGCCTTCATAAACGGCTACTGCGTGCCGTGGGTCCGTGTCTCACAGCTTGAACTTGGCACTGGTCTGGCAGGTCTGCGTCTGAGTCTGCCTTGCCTTCGGAAAGTACGTGCTCATGAATAATTAAGGAGCCGGCTCTTCTCATAGGATAAGAAAACTCCGCTTTGAATAATAATGAGAAACTGACACGTCATCAATGCACTTGCAGTACTGCGCTACATCGCCAATTTTGATCCCGCCCTAAAAATCATTTTAAACCCGGAAGCTGAAATTAGCTGACAAAAGCTCAAAATTATCCAGTTTTCCCCACAATTAAAGCTGACAGATGCTAACATTGTCTTAACTGATGCTCAACTCACACAAATCTGTTAATAAAAAAGAAAAAATTATCCAGGGTGTCCTGAACCTTTAAATAGTTAAGCATTGGCAGTTTTAAATATATTCAATAATCTGTCCCACTTTAAACATATACTTAGCACATTAAAATATAAATACAATGTACTTAGGCCCAATCCTAATTCTATTGTTGTACCCCTCTTCCCCTTGAAACAGAGTGTGAAGGGGAAGGGCTTCGAAGTGTACCCCCAAGAAATGGAACAGCACTACAGCACCTGCACACGTCATCATATGTCGTACTAAATATGAGTTTGATGATGGCGACTGCTGTAGTTATTACAGTTGTGTTATTTTTTGGTATTTATCTTCAGAAAATCACTGAAGGCATATATCATGTTATCATAATGATATAATGTGGCAATAAGATCGTAACTGTACTGTGCATTTACACTGTGGCTATATTGATCTATGTAAACACACAAAAACAACATTAACATTATAACAGACACTGTAAAAAAGCTCATTCCCAGCCTCAAGACATTACTGACAGGGTATTCGAGTGTCATCGAGTGTCAGAATGTTGTGGAAATAATCTAATCTTGCGATGTGACTATTGTGCATCCAGACATTGCAATATCGCTGTTCAAATGATATATTGTGCAGCCTTGGTTTCCTGGGTGTACAGAAAGAACAGCGTTTATTTTAAATGGAAATTTTTTCTGTGTAAATGTCACTTATGATGATTTTAATTGCTAAATATAACATCATACTAACCCCATATTTTTGAACAGTGGTGTTTATTGATAGATGTATTTAACACTGAAATACTAAGATACAGAACCGCTTGAAAATGCGAAACATGCTCATATACTCAACAACTA